CGTAGCACTGAAGGGGAGAGAAAGAACGAGAAAAGGGGAAGAGACAGAGCAAGGGGTGGAGAAAAAGAGCAAGCAAGGGGGGAGAAAATGAGGTGGGAGGGGAAAGTGAGGGAACAGAGAAAGAGCGAGCAAGGCGGGAAGAAATCAGGTGGGAGGAGAGAGTAAGAGCGAGTGAGTGGGGGGAAAGAACGAGAAAGTGGGAGGAGACAAAAAGCAAGCAAGAGGTGGGAATAGCGAGCAAGCCAAGAAAAAGGGGAGTGAGGTGGGAGGAGTGAGGGAGGGAGGAGAGAAAGAGCGAGCAAGGTGGGGAGAAATGAGTGAGGTGGGAGGAGAGAGCGAGCGAGCGAATGAGGATAGACAAAGCAAGTGGGAGAAGAACAAGGGGAGGAGAGCGAGTGGGCGAGCAGAGGAGGGGAGAGAAAGAGCGAGAAAGGGGGAGGAGACAAAGAGCAAGCAAGGCGTGGACAGAGCGAACAAGGCGGGGAGAAATGAGGGAAGTGGGAGGAGGAAGAGTGAGCAAATAGGGGTAGAGAAAGAGCAAGTGGGAAGTAGGAGGGGAGGAGAGAGAAAGAGCGAGAAATCGGGAGGGGACAAAGAGCGAGAGAGGCGGGGAAAGAGCGAGCAAGGCGGTAAGAGAGTGAGGTGGGAGGAGAGTGAGGTGGCAGGGAAGAATAAGAGCGGGCTAACGGGGTAGAGAAATGGCAAGCAGGGAGAAGAATGAGGGGAGGAGAGTGAGCGAGCGAGCAGGGAGGGGAGAGAAACAGCGAGAAAGGGGGAGGAGATAAAGAGCAAGAAAGAGGTGGAAAGAGCGAGCGAGCAAGGCGGGGACAGTGAGTGAGGTGGGAGGGGTGAAAGAGGAGAAGAGTGAGCAAGGCGGGGAGAAATAAGTGAGTTGGAAGGGCAGAGTAAAAGCAAGCAATGGAGAGTAAAGAAAGAGCGAGAAAGAGGGAGGAGACAAAGAGCGAGCAAGGGGTGGAAAGAGCGAGCAAGGCAGAAAGAGCGAGTGAGGTGGGAGGAGAGAGTAAGAGCGAGCAAAGCGGGGGGGTGAAAGCACAAGCAGAGGGTGGAGAGAAAGAGAGGAGGGAGGAGAGCAGGGGGAGGAGAGAACATGGGGAGAGAAAGAATGAGAAAGGGGCAGAACGAGAGAGGGAGCAGGAGACAAAGAGTTCAAGAGGCGGAAGTGAGGAGAGAATGAGGGGGGAAGGGTGAAAAAAAACTGAGGGGGGAGGGAGAGAAAGAGCAAGCAAAGGTGGGGAGAAAGTGAGCAAGGAGCCAAAAAAAAGAGCAAGGGAAAGAATGAACAACAGAGTGGGAGGAAAAGAACGAGCAAAAGAGGGAAAGAGCTGAGGGGAAAAAAAAACGAGAAGAAAAAGTATGTGAGAAAGAAACAGTAAAAGACAGATACACACATGTGAAAGTTAAAAGGCATGCACACATGTGGGAACAGCATGAGAACAGAAAACAGATGACAGACAAAAAAAGACAGAGAGAAGGAGAAATGGGGGCCATGTGCCTGCACACAAGTGAAACTACGAATAAGACAGAGAGCAAGGATGTAAGAGCAACAGAGAGAGGCAGAGAGAAGCTGTCAGAGGAAGATGATGGGGATAGAAACATGGGCAAAAGACAACAGGAGAGAGCAAGGGCAACAGGGAGTGAGAAGGGGGGGGGAGAGAAAGAGGGAAAGAGGGAAAGAAAGAGAGAGAAAGGACAACAGTGAACAGATTAGAGAAAGGGTAAAACAAAGTTTCCAGAGGGTAACAGGGGGAGAGAGAGCGTGAACACAAAGGCAAAAGGAAGAAAGAGAGAGAAAGAGCAACAGTGGATGAAAGAGCTGGCAAGAGGGAGCAGCTGTGAGACTGAAAGGGCAACAAAGAGAGTGCGCAATAAGGAGAAAGGGCAAAAGAGAATGAGAGTGAGAAAGGGCAGCAGAAAGAAAGAGAGAGAGAGAGAGAGAGAGAGAGAGAGAGAGAACGAGAACAACATAGAGCACAACAGGAGAAAGACAGAAAGCGCAGCTGGGAGAGAGAGCAAGAATGCAACAGCACAAGGGAGAAAATGAGAGAAAGGGCAACAGGGAGCACGCAAGAGATAAAAGGGTAACAGAGAAAGCACATGAGAAAGGGCAAGAATGCATGCACACAAGAGTAACAGGACGTACATGACAGATGAAGGGCAACAAGGAGGACATGCAGGAGAGAAAGGGCAACAAAGGACACATACAAGAAGGAAAGTGCAACAGAGCATGAATGGGAGAGAAAGGGCAAAAGAGAGAGAGGAAAAGGGCAATAGGGAGAAAGAGAGAAAGCACAACAAGGAGAAGAGAGAAACAAAGAGAGAAAGTAGGGCAGGGAGAGAAAGAAAGGGAGAGGAAGAGCAGCAGAGAGAAAGGGCAAAAGAGAGCACGTGTAAAAGGCCAAAAGAGTGCTAAAGAAAGGGCAACAGGGAAAGAGAACAAAAGGTCAACAGTGGGAAGGAGGTAGAGAGGCAGAAAAAGAAGCAGAGAGAAATAGAAAGTACAGTAGGGAGAGAAAGAGACAGAGGGCTACAGAGTATGTACATGAGAGAGAAACAGTAACAGAGAAAAAGGAGAGGGCAACAGAAAGAAAAAGGGAAAAGGAAATTGCAAAGAAGAGAAAGAAGGAGTGGGTGAGAGAGAGAAGGACAAAAAAGGGTGTGAGAGGGAAAGGACACAGGGAGTGCATGACAGCGAAAAGGCAACAGAGAATAAAAGAGGAAAATGGCAATGGGAGGGAGAGAGAGAGAGAGAGAGAGAGAGAGAGAGAAAAGAGACAGAGAAAAAGAGAGAGAAAGAATAGTACACAGAGACAGAGGGCCACAGAATATGTGCAAGAGAGAAAGGGCAACAGAGAAGTGCACATGAAAAAGTGAATCAGAAACTCTCAATAGAGAGCATGTGTGTGAGAGAAAGCAAAACAGTGAGAATGCATGCACAAGAAAGGGCAACAGAGAGTGAAAAAAGATAGAACGAGGGCTACACAGAGGGAAAGAATATAAGAGAGAAACAGCAACAGAGAATAGGAGAGAGCAAGAAAGGGTAGCAGAGACAGAAAAGGTAACAGAGAGAGAGAGCAAGAGAGAAACGGCTACAGAGTGTGCTGGAGAAAAGGCAACACAATAAAAGAGAGAAAGGGCAACAGAGCACATAAAGTGCTAAAGAGATACAGAGGGAGTAAAAGTATAACAGAGCAAGGGAAAAATAGCCGCAGGGAGAAAGGAGAAAGGCCAAGAGAAACATAGAGCGCAAAAGGGCTACAGAGAAACAGGAGAAGGAGAAAGAAAGGGCAAAAGAACAAGGGAGGAAGAGGGTGACAGGGAATGGGGGTCTGAGAGAAATGGTGACGGGGAGTGGATGTGCTAGAAAGGGGATGAGGACCTGGCGCATGTGTGCATGAGACAGAAAGGATGACGGGGAGCATGTGCGTGAGGAAAAGAAAGGGCAGAGGAAAGCAGGTGTGAGAGAGGGCAAAGGGAAGCACATGCGCACAACAGAGAAATGGCAACGGGTGTGAGGGAAAGCGTGATGAGAAGTGTACAAGATAGAAAGGGCGAGGGGGAGCGCATGAGCAAAAGGTCAGCGGGGAAGGAGAAAGGTGAGAGTGAGAGAAAAGTTGAGAAATAAATGGAGGGTGCGAGGACAAGGCAGCAAAGGTGAAGAGCCAGGGGGCGAGAGAGAGAGAAAGGAGGTAGGTGGTAATGGGAGCAAAGAGAAATGGATAGAAAAGTGCAAGACAGGGAAAGACAGAGGGGAGATGAGAGAGAGGATAACAAAAGGATAAGAAGGGGATGAGAAGATGAGAGAAAGGGATGAGAGCAAGGGAGTGAAAAAGGGGTGAAAAGGGGGATGAGAGGGAGGAGAGGGCAAGTGTGACAGGAGGGTGAGAGAGAGGGTTGGCATGAGATGGTAAGGGAGGAGGGAGTGGAGTGGAGAGTAAGAGGTTTAGTGGGAAAGAGCCATGGTGGGGGTGGGGGTGGGACAATGGCAAGAAAGAGAAAGAAGGAAAGATGCTAAGAGGAAAAAGGCAGCGAAAGAAAGAGAGAAAGAGAGAGAGAAAGAGTGAGAAAGAGTGAGAAAGGGCAACACACAGTAATGGTGAGAATGAGGAGAAAGAGTGAGAAATAGAGAGAATCGAGGTGTGCGAGGGAGAGACGATCAGGACCTAAGGCAAGAGAAAGAGAGAGGGTGACAGACAAAGGGCATGACTGGAAGTGAGAGGTCAAGAGAGACAGAGAAAGGCTGCAGGTGGAGAGATAGAGAGAAGGCCTGCATGTGCAAGCACGAGAGAGAGACGGGGAGAGACAGAGAAAGAAGAGGAAGTGAGGATGAGAGACAATGAAGAAAGGAGGGTGAGACACAGCAGCTAAGAGAATAAGGACAATAAAGAGCAAGAAAGGGTGACAGAAAGTAAGAATAGACAAGAGTGAGAGCAAAAAGGTGAAAGACTGAGAGGGATGCAAGGGCAAGAGAGCGAGGACGAGAGGGTGAGAGAGTCTAGAGAAGCAGTGAGAGAAATGGGAGGCGCTCAAGAGAAAGGATGAGAGAGAAGTAGGTGTGAAAGAGGATGCGTGCATGAAAGAGAAAAGGAGCATGCATGAGATTGAAAAGGGTGTGTGTGAGAGAAGGGCCGCATCTGCACGAGTGAGAAGGGGTAGACAAGGGCATGAGAGGAAGTGCAAAAGAGACAAGGAAAGGGCATAAGAGAAGAGGAGGAAGGAAAGACAGGGCAAGAAGGGAAAAAAAGCCAGGGGAAGGAGGTGTGGAGAAGGAGAGGGAGGGAGAGAGAGAGGAAGGGAGAAAGGGGGCTGAGGCAGAGACAGAGAGGCCAAGACAGACAGACAGACAGAGGTGATACTATCTCCTACAGGGAGATAGGGAGGTCCAAAGAGAAACAGAAAGGGATAGTAACAGAGAAGAAAGAAACAGACAGGAAAATGAGAAAGAGGAAAATGAGAAACAGAAGAAAGCAACCTATGTTTACCTGTCTTTGTAGTTAATCACAGTGTCAATAATAGCATTCATCTGTTTTGTCAGTTTAGGTGGGTTGGGTGACAACTTCTCTGCAGGAGGTCTGCCTCTTCTTTTCTTTGCTTTCTCTCCATCTTCTTTCCCAGAATCCTTATCCACATTTCTTCGTCTCTTCCGTTTTTTAAGCCGGACTTCCTCTTCCATTTCTTCCAAATTTCCGTCTTCAATTGCCTGACAATCAAGAATTCAAAAATAGTACCTTTAAGCAGAGTAAGTCTGCAAAGAGAAACAATAATTTGTATTTAAACACATCAAAACCAGAACTCAACAGGACGTAGATAATCCAAATGCAAACGTTTTACCGTTAAGAGTTCAACAAATTTTGGGGTGCTGGCAATAAAACAGTCACTAGACTTCCACTATTTCTAAGAATTCCATTACTACCTAAAGACAGGCATGTTATTTTACATCTTAAGTTCCATACCAAGTCAAAATTTCACATACAATGAGGGCCTATGTCAGAAAGAACATACAAGAAATGTTCATTTCTTTATATCAGTGGCAGTTCTTAAGAAAGCAGATATATGTGAAATACAAAGCTGACGTGCACACTTTCACAACATTGCTTGACTTGCGGTAAGAGATCACATACAGTTCTTTTTAAATACAAACACATGGACAATTTATCTGGCAGGCACAGAAACTGCAGACTCAGTTTCTCTTCCACATTGTTGAAATGACTTACAAATTGCCTGAACATTAAAATCATCTCTAAAATCCATATTTTTCTTTCAAAATAGCAACTAACAAAGGTGTAGAAGCACTAACAATACAGCATTTTATAGTAAAAGACACACATGGGATGAAGAACAAAACAAAACAAAAAAAACCCCACACAGTCACAAACAATGAACACTAGTTTCAATTACCTGCAAACGTGCACTTTTAACCAGACCCAGCAGCACTATGCGGAGTGATAATAAAATATCTACAAAAACAAACTAGGAATAAAGGAAACCTGTTCATACACTGACTATCATATCCATGCGATAAATCAAGAGACTGAACTTTTCCTGCTTTGGGAAAGCCAACAAAAGAAAAAAAAATACTGGGTAATAAGAGAATTGAAATTAAAGAGAAAAAAAAAAATCAGACTTTCTGATTAATGCCTTCTTAGAATATAACTGATGTTGATATTTGTCCCTTTAGCCTCTCAATATTGCCTTGAGTACATGCAAATGCTAATCAATCCTTTCTCGTAGCTGAAAGAGCTCTAATCATAAGGCAATTACCTTCATTTCTCCACAGCATCAAACATGGCTAATATTTATGATCATGTGAGTATAACAATCTATATAAAAAGCGTGATTACAGCGCAGACATAATTTCTTTCAATTGTGTACAATGTCTCTCGAAAAACAGTTTGTGCAAAAAGCTGGTGCATAGCACAAAACAACGTGGCATGTTAAAAAACACCAGTGGGATTTAAAAATCTGTATCCTATGCCTTCTCCGATGTGCAAATCCACAGAACAAACATGAACACAGAATCCTGAGGGACAAGCTGAAACTAGGCCTTAATAATCAAAAGACAATTTCCATCATGCTTCCACAGCACTCAGACAACCACTATGAAGGAGGCTTGAAATCTGATGAGTTAGGAGGAAAAGGGAAGGAAAAAAAAATCTGCACACAAATTCATTAATATTCATCTGGCTAAAGCAGGACACCCACTGCACACCACTGCAGCTAGCAAAGATTAAGAACAGGAAATTTCGCTGCAAATCTTGGAAGCTAGAAATCCTAATAATAAAAACAGCATGCAAGGCTGTCAACAGTTAATGTCATCGCTCTCCTTAAGCACTCGGTTGTACACAGAAATACGGAGAACACCAGCTCTTGATGTGTTACACACCTACACATGCCTGTGATGTTGCTCTACTGAATCTTCAAGACGGCAATGAAAAAGGATATTTACCTTACCACTATCAGCAGGCCGGCTATCGGAAATCACAGTTAGTGGGGATAAAATTAACAAGCCAGCAAAGCAGCGAGCTGCTAGTCTCTTCATCAGCTGATCAGGAAAAAAAAGAGAGCTGGGGAAAGGCTATGTTTTCATATACGAGTAATTTTATTTTACTGAAAATTTAATACTGAAAGGATTGTGGATACTCAAATCTGCTGTTTCATTCTACTACTACAAGGCCTGAAGCCTTCTTCCTTCATCCGGCTTTAATATTGACAACTACTTATCATATTTCTCCCCTTATTATTCCAAGCATCCAATTTTCACAAGGCAGTTATTGATTCTTGTTAGAATTCTAATAGCAAAACTAGAAAATCTCATGTATGCTTTTGAAATAAAAACTGCAAGCATTAAAAAATTGCTTATTACAAAAACAAATTGTCCTGTACAGATCTGTTGATCTATCTGAACAGATCAAGTTTTGGTTACAGAAAATGTTAAACTACTCAAATTGAAGAGAAGTAACAAAATAAGGATTAAGATTTTGGTGGGGTTTTCCTTCAGAAAATCAGTATTCATTCAAATAAAATACACTTACAATTCAGTTTTCTTGCCAAATTCCTTCCCTCGGCTCTATAACATCCTTGTCACCGAAGGGTGCTAATATACTATTGTGTTATACTGTATACAATGATATAGTGTATACAATTCCTGCTTGGGGTACTATCTTGTGAGACAGCACAAAAAGAAAAGGAAATGTACAAAGAAATTTCTATATACTACATTTATGAACACAGTAAAAATGGAAAATAAAATTAAGAAAATAGAAAACTAAAATACAGTCTGGTATATACTATTTCAAAGTTTACGTGCATGCATGTAAATTCTTCTTAACTTAAAAGATTAGTGTAAGCACTAGAAAATCAGCATTACACAAATAGCAGACTAAAACAGTTGTTAATGTGATTAACTAACTTTAGTTCTCAAATGGTAAATTTCTCTCTTGGACAAAAACAGAACTACTTCATGCCAGACCTACAGTTTATGCAACCCTGCAGGATTATTTAAGCTACTTCATATAAATCAAGTATCAGTAGAGATGTTAAAACTATTATTTATGTATCTACAAATATACAATTATGTATACATGAATGGCAAAATATTTATTAAATTAATTCATCTATGTGAAGTCTTTGAAAACTTGCTACAGTGTTACACCAAAAAAGGTGCCAGTAAAATAATTTCTGTATATCCCTGAAGCAAATCTCCTGTTCCTAATAGATGACATATTGCCCAAGAGACATAACACAGACGTCTCCCATGCTTGAATCCCTTCTGACTGAGATGAATAGCAAGGGTTTCAAGGAAAACAGAATGTAAATGAAATTTTAACAGCTTCCTTCCTCACAGGAACAATTCAAAAACAGACAGTAAAATTTGGACTGTATTTTTTTGAAAGAACTGTGAAAACTTTAGCGTATAATCTTGCATAGAATTGAGAAGCTCACAAAAGACTTAGATATCTCCGAATTCCAAGGAAAAAGTGCAATAACTTAATGTTATGTTCAGTACTGACAAAATCCTGCTGCTTTCCATGCTTTTGTTGCTGTGTTTTGGTTCATGTTAATGAAGATATATGTGTAAGTTTTGCTAAATGCCAAAGGACATACAGGCTTCTGACAGCACCATAATTTTAGGAAGGTCTAATAACACACATCTAGAGCACTAAAATGTCATCTTTTTACTGCTTTTACCAGCATCTCTCTTTAGCATCTTCCAAATCCTCCACATATCTTCCAATTTTTTTCTCTGATGACTGATCCAAGTTGAAATTCATGTTTCCAAAAAATCTTCCTCTTTCTCTTTACAAACCATCTCGCTCATTTTTTAAACAGTGATTCTTGATATCTGAGTCTGCTTTTACGTTGCACAAAACTGTATAATTTGCTGACTTGCTACAGCTACTTCCCCTGCTCCATAACAGAAGAGCTCTCCCTATGCTGTAGCATATACATAAAGCATGCTCTTGATGAAGATTTTGAAGAAGAAAAATAGCAACATACTGCATGTAAGAAAAATCTGACGACACAATGACAAGATTCTTCATCAGTAATGCAATGAGTAAATATCGTAAGAATATTTAAAATTCTGACCGTTAAAAAAACAGTCAGAATGATCAAGGTCACTGAATTTCCTTTTCTTGTTGGACAGTATCCCACAAGAGATATACAAAATTGAATTTCCTGCCTAGCAAAGAACCTCAAGATGCCTATTTTTGTTGTATATTAATAATAATGAAAATTAGGAATACTTTTTTCATGTCATTTTGATTTCAAGACTGATGTCAAAATCTGATAGTACAATGCAAGTACATATTGCAAGCAAATCCAAAGCAACACATGACATTATTTGCATTATAAAATATAGGTAATTATTTTAAATATTTATAGGATCAACATTTTAATCTTCAGTATGTTATTTCTGATTTGGAACAAAAATTTCAAATGACATAGCTATTTAATGTGATAATGATAATTAAGAAAAGCATAACCTTGAGCAATCAGTGATAAATTTAATCAAAGTTACAGTAAAACTAAGTTTGCAACAACATAAATTTTCTTTAGTTCAAAAAATGAACCCTGGTAAAAAATCAAATTCCAAAAGGTTAAGTAATGATTTTAAATGGGATCAGCCTAACCTCACTTTGCATCTATGAGCTTTTTGTAAATTGGGGAAAGAAAGGCTGAAGGACAAAATAATCAGAGATATTGGAACCCACTGACAGTTAAAGCATAAAAAAAAAAAAAAAAAAAAAAACAGGTAGAGCAATAGGGAGAAAGTGGGTGAGAATCAGGAGAAGTTGTAGTTATTTACCAGACTGAATGTGAAGATGCTTTCCTTAGCAAACTCAAGTACATGCAAAAACTGTGCTCATGACATTGAAATGATCAATGTTGAACAGAATTCATAATGATTGCGCAGTTCAACAGCTGCTCATTCACATTCTTAAAATATCAATAGAACTAACTGTAAGGGTCTTCTACAGGTTTTCAAACCTAAGTGCGCTTCACTTCTCCCATTTTAAGTGTATTTGTGCTTTCTGTCTTGGTAGGAAGTTATCATTTGAATAAACAGTCTCTTGACCCAATCCAACCTAAACTGGGAGCAGCAGAAAGTGGAAAAAAGAAACAAAGCAGAAATTAGGAATATCAGCTTCTTGCTGTTGATCACTGAACAGTCTTTTTAAATTCTCTGCCTCTTTTTAA